ATTGTCCGGACTGTATGAATCTGTGTAGCTACAAGCGTTCGTGCACCCGGGTGATGTAGTAACTAGGATACACTCAACAGCTGCCACCCGAGGTTAGCCCTATCCAAAGTACCCCAAGGACTAGGACCTCCTGTCGTTCCCACACATGACCTACCCTCCTCTACATGAGGACGAGTACTCACGGAAACATCATGATGAACGGCCAGCATTAGCATGCCCCACATTCATACCTTAATAATCCAATATTCAATACATGAGTTCGTTCCTCCCCGGAACGCTCGTTCAACTTCACATAATTTCATTCATACTCATTCTCGATTTCATCTTTCAATTATCATTTTTTCTCAATTTCCTCTTTCATTTCCAATACTTAAAAATTTCATCATTTGCTCTAAGAGTATAAAATGCCGAATGTTCAGACCTCTTTAAGAATGGGACCAATGATAAGAACGAGACCGATAATTCTTTTCTCCCGTTCATAACAGAATAAGGCTAAGAGAATTACTTTAGATTTAAGAAAGGAACCGAGTAAAATTGCATATATGTGACTAACGGTATTTACCCAACTTGAATCAGTGGGGTGAGCTGACTCTCCTTGAATTTGAACGCAATACTTAAGAAGAAATCAAGTAATGGATGCCCTAGGCGGGTCCCCAATGCAAGAAGAATAATTAAGATGTTAAGGAACTATATTAGAAAGTTCACATACGGAAATCCAATGCCGTAAATGACGGAACATGGTAAAGGAAATATTACTGAAGTTGGACAACGCTATTTTAATCAAGATTGATTATACAATAGTAACGAGCGCTTGGTATACGACCGAGCACTACTCAGTACGAGCGCTAGGTATAATACCGAGCACTACTTAGTACGAGCGCTAGGTGTAAGACCGAGCACTACTAGTCTTAAAGTATATATATGTATTACTTTATTTCGGGATAACCGGGTACAACTATGCTTATCCGAACGCTCAAACATAGTATTTCCACACGAGGGCACTCGTCCTACACTAGGATTCTATCCAAATGAAAGAATCCCTTTTTAACTATGTTCACAGAAAACCGAACGGTCAATGACCGTTCAGTAACGGACCGTACTCTATCATAGTAGAATTTCATATTCAGATTTCATTTACTTCCAACTCAAATCTCAACACATCATTTCATAACCTTATAACTTCACACCGATTATCAATTTACATACTTCATAAAATCCATATTAATAATGGTTTAATGTCTCAATAGGTCCCTATTTTTGTTCAGAATTTGAAATAGGTCCCTTTATTTTTTTTGGCGTCTCAATTGGGTCCCTTATTTTTGTAATTTGATGCAAATAAATCATTTCCGTCCAATTTCATCAAACACGTCGTTAATGAAAGTGTGACGTGGCCTGAGGACATATTGACACTTGTAAGGCCACTTCACACATTTATTAACGTCGTTGATGAAATTGACCGGAAAGGATTTATTTGCATCAAATTAACAAAAATAAGGACCTAATTGAGACGTCAAAAAATAAAGGGACCTATTTCAAATTCTGAACAAAAATAGGGCTATTGAGACATTAAACCTATTAATAATTCATACTCCAAAACTATTACTCATATTCACATTCCTACACTTCATACATATCAACCATCATACACCATACTCATACTAGATACATACATTCACTCATTCAGCACAATGCCATTCATTTTCAGCAAGCATACAACACATACAGTTAAATTAGATAAGCTCCCTTACTGGATCTGTGAAAGAACGTCCTACAGACTGCAACTTGGTTCGTCAACTACAACTTCTACCCTCACGGTCACTTAACTCTTCCAACTAAACGAACCAATGAAAACACAAAAATCCCTTAGACTACACATACAACAACCCTGCATGCAACCCGAACGTGGTTTGCATGTAACAAAAGAACGAAGACTAAGGGGAGAAAACTTATACCAGCTCAATCTTTGAAACTGGTTTTCGGTTTCAAAAGTGAAGCTTGAGAGCCCGAACGCTTCTACGGTCTTTGATCATGATCGGAGAAGAGAAAGGTGAGTTACAGTAGAGAGAAGGGAAGGTTTTCTAGAGAGAAGAAGGAGAAGATGAAAAGATCAAAGTTTGGAAGGAGAAGGTGCATGCAGAGGAGAGTGAGCAGGGTTTTTCAAAAAAATCATTTTTGTCTACCCCACGTCCAACGGACGTACACTCTCCTGTAGACATCTGTCCCTCCACTACTGATTTTTCGAATCTTCCATTCTTGACACCGGCGTCAGTTTACAGAGTTTTGGGTGCATTTTAAATGGATCTATAGGGGTTTTGGGTTAAATTTTTGAGGTCTGACATTCCCCCTAACTACAAAAATTTTCGTCCTCGAAAATTAAAACTTACCCGGAAATAAGTGAGGGTACAAGTCCTTCATTGCATCTTCCACTTCCCATGTAGAGTCGACCGTCTTCTCGTCCCATACCACTTTCACCATTCTAATTGCTTCCCTTTTGTAATACTTGGTGCGGCAGTCTTCAACGCGAACTGGCTGCAACTCCAGCGTTCGATCTTGACGAAGACGAACGCCTTCCAACTCCAGTATATGAGAGGGGTTGGCTATGTACTTCCGGAGTTGGGAAACGTGGAAGACTGATGGAGGTTGGACAGTTGAGGTGGCAAGGCCAACTCGTACGCCACTGGTCCGATCTTTCTCAAAACTTGATAAGGTCCGACAAACTTGGGGGATAGCTTCTTTGGACGAATGGCTCTGCCTACTCCAGTGGTCGAATTCAGCCTAAGGAATACGTGATCTCCAGCATTGAACTCTAGCGGCCTTCTTCTCTTGTCTGCGTAAGATTTCTGCCTGCTTCGAGACGTCTTCAACCTTTCTTGGATTAGCTTCATCTTCTCGGTCGTTTGTTGAATGAGCTCAGGTCCAGTCAATACGTTCTATCCTTCTTCAAACCAGCAAAGTGGCGTGCGACACTCCCATCCGTAGAGAGCTTCAAAGGGAGCCATACCGATGATGGACTGGAAACTGTTGTTGTAGATGAACTCCACTAAAGGTAAGACTTCATCCCAGACGTCCATGTGATCTAGGACGCACGTCCTTAGTAAGTCTTCGAGCGTCTAGATGGTTCTCTCGGATTGACCGTCCGTTTGAGGGTGATAAGCTGAACTCATTTGAAGTTTGCTTCCCAGCTCGCTTTGCAAAGATTGCCAAAACCGAGATGTGAATCTCGTGTCTCGGTCAGAAATGATGCTCGAGGGCATCCCATGCAACCGAACGATCTCTCTGAATAAAGTTTGGCCAGGTTGGTCATCGACATCTTCAAGTTGACCGCTAGGAAGTGAGCGCTCTTCGTGAGTCGATCCACTATTACCCAAATGGAATCGTGATTCTAGACTGTGCGGGGTAAGTGGGTCACGAAGTCCATCGAGATGTTATCCCACTTCCATTCAGGAATCTCAAACTGCTGCAGTAAGTCGCCCGGCCTCTGATGCTCAGCCTTTGCACGTTGACAAGTTAGGCATGATGCCACAAAACGTGCGACATCATTCTTCATTCTCGGCCACCAGAAGGAGTTCCTGAGATCTTGATACATCTTAGTCATACCAGGGTGTATGCTAAGACGGATGTGATGACCTTCCTCCAAGATAATCCTCTTCAGATCTCCATCGTTTGGAACGCACGTCCTACCCATATAGCATAAGAGGCCGTCCGTTCCAGTGTTGAAGTCCTTAGCCTGATCTGTACCGAGCGCGCTCAAAATCTTCACCAGATCTTCATCCTCCAATTGTTTTTCTTTGATTCTGTCAAAGACGTTGCTGGATATTCTAAGGTTACAGCATTTAATACCGTTCGCTCCCAACTCAAACTGTAACCTTAGATCTCTAAAACTTTCAACCAAGTTTAATTCTCTGACCATCATAGCTGAAACATGAACCACTTTTCTACTTAGGGCGTCCGCTACCACATTCGCCTTCCCTAGATGGTAGAGTAGTTCAAAGTCGTAGTCCTTCAAGAACTAAAGACACCTCCTCTGCCTCATGTTCAAATCCTTCTGATCAAAGAGGTACTTGAGGCTCTTGTGATCACTGAAGACTTGGAACGTAGATCCATACAGGTAATGCCTCCAAATCTTCAGTGCGAATACAACTGCTGCCAACTCCAAGTCGTGCGTTGGGTAATTTCTCTCGTGAATCTTCAGTTACCGAGAAGCGTACGCGACCGCTCTCTTCTCTTGCATAAGCACGCATCCCAGACCTTGATGAGAAGCGTCGCAGTAAACTTCGAACGGTTTGGCTGTGTTTGGGATAACCAAGACTGGAGCGCTCATCAACTTCCTCTTCAATTCTTGGAAGCTCGCTTCACACCGATAGGTCCATGCGAACGGTTGATCTTTCCTGGTCAGCTGAGTTAGCGGGGCTACTATCTTAGAAAATCCTTCAATAAAACGCCTATAGTAGCCCGCAAGTCCCACGAAGCTGCGAACCTCAGTGACCAAACGGGGACTCTCCCATTCCAATACCGCTCATACCTTGGCCAAATCCACTGAGATACCTCCAACCGATACCACGTGCCCCAAGAATTGAACTTCTTTCATCCAGAACTCACATTTGGATAACTTGGCGTACAACTCCTTCTCCCTCAATACGCCAAGTACGGTTCTTAAGTGCTCCTCATGTTCGTCCTGGGTCTGGGAGTAGATGAGGATGTCGTCAATGAAGACGACCACGAACTTGTCTAGATACGGTCTGAAAATGTGATTCATATAGTCCAGGAAGATCGCTGATGCGTTCATTACACCGAACGACATCACTACATACTCGTAGTGTCCGTAACAAGATCGGAAGGCGGTCTTCTGAACATCCCCTTCCTTAACTCTGATTTGATGGTATCCAGATCGCAAGTCAATCTTCGAGAACACTGAGGCCCCATGCAGTTGATCCAACAAATCATCTATCCTTGGCAGTGGGTACTTATTCTTGATGGTCAGCTTGTTTAATTGTCTATAATCAATGCAAAGCCGAGCTGCCATCTTTCTTCTTCACCAAGAGAACAGGCGCTCCCCAGGATGACACGATCGGCCTGATGAACTGCTTGTCCATCAAATCTTCAATCTGCTTCTTAAGTTCAGCTAACTCCGCAGGCGACATATGATAGGGCGCAACAGAAATGGGTGCTGTCGTTGACACCAAGTCGATCGTGAACTCAACCTCGCGAGTAGGAGGTAGTCTAGGTATTTCTTCCGGAAAGATGTCCGGGAACTCATCCACAACCGATCGTCCTCCACTGGACTTGTTACTGGACGGTCGTTCAAAGTTCATTTCTCCAGCCTCCTTGTCTTCGTGTGTCATTATCAGAAAACAGTTGGCGCCTTCCATGATATCCTCCTTTAGTTGACCGAGCGTCACAGACAACACTTCTTCATCTTCCTCAGGAAACACTAGCCTCTTTTCTCCACAATCTATAAGAATGTGATTGGTAGTCAACCAATCCATTCCCAATATTACTTCTAAACCTTGAAGAGGTAGACAAATGAGATTAACTTTAAATCTACGACCCTCAACTTCTATAGGACATCTGACGCAAACTGTAGACGTCCTAACCTCGCCAGCCGCTGGGGTTGACACCACCAAGTCGAACTGCATCTCACTCTCAGTTATTCCCACTTTCTCAACACATGCCTTCGAAATGAAGGAATGAGTTGCCCCAGAGTCATACAACACACAGCAAGGTTTACCATACAGCAAGCAATCACCGAATATGAGGTTACCTGAGCTTGTTGCCTTCGCGCCCGTTATAGCATACACACGCCCAACCGCTTGGGCTCGACCACCTCTTAGTTGATTCCTTCCCGCGTTCAGTGGTCTCATCACCGCTCGTCCTCCCATGTTGCACTCATTCTCCAGATGTCCGTTTCTCCTACAACGAGTGCAAAATTTTCCTCCCATCA